CAAGGTGGGTATGACCCCTGTGGAGGACACGATGCGGGAGGCGAGTTCGGGCATGTGAAGAGGAGAGGCATTGATACTCCGGTGAGGAGGTGTGAGAGGTTGGCATCGGAAGGCGAACGAAAAGGTAGAAACGGGCCGAAGAAGTATCGGGAAGAGGTGATTAGACAAAATATAGTGTTGCTTCAGCTTACTGAGGACATGACCATGGATAGGAAGAGGTGGAGATTGAGAATAAAGGGTAAGGGTTAGGTAGCCGAGTGTTGTCCTTGTTTGTAACAGTAGCTTTGATACACCACTTGGTGTTTTTCGTGTTTTTTCATATCCCTAGACTTCTGTTATTACTTGTTGTTGTCTTTTGTTTTGATTTTCTGATTGCATTACCCATTGCTAGTTTTGTATTTTCGCTTCGGTTGTCAGATCGATTTGCTTGTTATTGTCCCCTAAGTTGCTCGGGCTCGGGTGCGGGTATCCGATACGGAGACGGATCCGAGTATATGATTTGGCAAAATCTAAATTTTAAGATTCGGGGGTGCGGATCCTGATATGGATACGAGTGCGGGGATTCGGTTAATAAAATTCAAAATAATAAAAAATAGAGCTATAAAAATATTGTAAATTTTGAGAGATATTCTGTGAAAAACTTACATGAATATTGTAGAATTCAATCTTTCATTCTCCAAAAATATAAGACAAAAATACTACAATATTGAAGGTATGCCATTTTCCATAACTTAAATCTGTTTTATTTTTTATTTTGAAAAATCAAAATCTCAATTTTTCTCCCAAATTTATCGATGGACTCCGGTCAAAGTGTCCGAAGTCAGTTGACCGAATTCGGGACGTATCCCGCTCCCGTCCCTGTCTCGTATCGGGACGGGGACGACACCAAAATCGAAGAGTCCGCGCAACTTAGATTGCCCCTCCCCTTTTCCCTTCCTGAGCCGAGGGTCTATCGGAAACAGCCTCTCTGCCTTCTTAAAGGCAGGGGTAAGGTCTGCATACACTCTACCTTCCCCAGACCCCACTTGTGTGATTACACTGGATGTTGTTTTTGTTGTTGTTAACTACTTATGGCATGTTCGTGCATAATGTGGATAACCTGTATCAGATCTGTAATCAGTCTCTAAATGTTATTTCAACTTTTTAGTTGCATTTTCAAAACTACAAGAATTAAACAAAGATGCAAAGTCTTCTATAGGAATTTTTTTGTTGGAATATTATACAAATATTTTAACATTGAAATTTTTAGTTGAAGTGGAACCTTGGAGCAACGGTAAAGTTGTTTTCATGTGACCTATAGGTCACGGGTTCGAGCTGTGGAATCAGCCATTGATGCTTGCGTCAGGCTAGACTGCCTACATCACACCTCCTCGGGGTGCGGTCCTTCCGCGAACTTGAAGTTTTTAGTTGATTGCTAGCTGTGACTTTAAATTCTTGGAAATGTCAATCAATTTGCAAGTTTTAAGTTTGCTTGTTTTTTAATAACATATTTTTGTTATCTTCCCAGGTAGATATTAGAGTAGCACCTGGCACTCACGCTACAGAAGCTGCAGGTATCTGTCGTAACCATTACCCTTTGATCACTAACAAATCTTTATAACTCTCTGTTTGTCACTCTGCTGGACTTCTCCCATTTGAACCCAACCAGGCCTGTATTTGTCACTTCCCATTTGCTTTGACAAAAGGGCATCTTCCTTTTGCGAGCGAACTGTATATTATGTCTTTTTAACATACCACACGGGCATAGAGCTGGTTATGGGTTTTCTTCTACCATGGTCCATGTATAGTGTTCGCCCTTTAGGTAAATGTAAGTTAAAGTTATAACATACCCAAAAGAAAAGAGAAGGGAAAAAGAAAAGCATACAAGCTTCTTGTATTTTTTTAGCATCAAACATTTGGAGATGAGAGTTTTTTAAGAGCAGTCTCCGATTGCTTTATGTCCAGCAACTGATCATTTATTTTTCTGCCTGCAGTAAATAAGCAGTTGAACGATAAAGAACGGGTAGCTGCAGCATTGGAAAATCCTAACCTTGTCGATATGGTAGACGAATGCCTTGCTCCATCTCTTGAATGAGGAAGTTTACTAAGTCTTTGTTCAGTATATGGAGATACAACCCGAACAGCTTTCATCAAAAAGTCCTTCAATGTTATATTTTTGTGGTTGTTTTTGAACAGTTTTTCATTGGTTATATTTTCATTATATTAATGAGGTTGTGTTTAGTGAAAGTGTGAAATCACAATGTAGTTGGTTGGTCTGAAATAGGTTGTATTTTTATGAAGAGATCTATGCGATATTTATATCATCATATTCACATGGTATTTTCAATATTTTTAGCCTGTAAGAGCACTTGGTGGATATACAAGCCTTGGATTTTCATGAAAACAGAATTTTCATATATGGTGTTTACTCGTCGGACATCCTATCACTTCTTAGTATGGCGTTGAATAGCTTCGCGACTCGTTCTACTTCAACCTCTCCAAGACACTTTCAACCATTTATAGGGATACTATTTGAACCACAAACTTTTCTAGTATTTATATTTTTCATGGCATCCTTTATCTCTGTCGGCCTAATAGCTTGTTTGGCCAAGCTTCTTCAAGTTCAAAAGCACTTTTTTTTTTCTAAGTGTTTTTTTTTCAAATTTGAAGTGTTTGGTCAAGCTTTGAGGAGAAAAAAAAAGTGCTTCTGAGGAGAAGCAGAAGCAGTTTTGGAGAAACAGAAAAAAATAGCTTCTTCCCAGAAATACTTTTGAGAAAAATACACTTAGAAGCACTTTTTAAAAGTTTGGCCAAACACTAATTGATGCTTAGAAGTACTTTTTATATTAATTAGTCAAACACAAACTGTTTCTCACCAAAAGTAAATTTGAAAAAACGCTTCTCAGCTGATTTTTCTCGCTTGCCAAACGGGCTATAATTCTACTAGAGTAGCTAAGGTTTCTATTGTACACGTGTGGAATTCCCAAATGTTTCTCTTGGTCCGAGTTAAACAACTTATCAAAATAGCCTCTCCATTTCTCCTCAGACCTCATTTTCTTTTGTCAATAGTTGTTGAGACTTGGTTAAAATCCTTACCCATCTTCTCTCCCAGTCGTGTTTAGGGATGGCAATGGAGCGGTGGGGATGAGGTGCGGGGCGAGGCGGGTTTGAACCTATGCGGGGTGAGGCGCGTTTGGGCCTGTGCGGGTGCGGGGCGGGGGGTTGAATTTTTTTAAAAAAATAATTGCGGGTGCGGAACGGGTGTGAGTTCAAATAGTGACACAAACTAAGAAAGACATGAATCTATTCTACACAAATTCTATTATTGTATTGGTGAAAAATCCTATTGCTGGCTATTTTAAAATTCAACCCCTCCCCTCGAACACACCTCACCCCCACCCCCTAGAAGAAACAAAAAGCAAAAGATTAAATGGCAAGTATGCTTTGGCAATGGAACAAGGAAACACCAACAATTTTCTTCTAAAAAAAGTTCTTTTGATTTGTTTTATATTTGTAATTCATCTACATCAATTATTTTCTGCTTCTTTTTTTCATTTTTGGTTCAAGTCTTAATAGCGTAAAAGCATACTCTTAAAGACACGATTGAAGCAACTGAAATGCCTCGCCTTAAATGAAGCCATATTTGAAATCCCAAAAGAAACATTCTNATTATTGTATTGGTGAAAAATCCTATTGCTGGCTATTTTAAAATTCAACCCCTCCCCTCGAACATACCTCACCCCCACCCCCTAGAAGAAACAAAAAGCAAAAGATTAATGGCAAGTATGCTTTGACAATGGAACAAGGAAACACCAACAATTTTCTTCTAAAAAAAGCTCTTTTGATTTGTTTTGTATTTGTAATTCATCTACATTAATTATTTTCTGTTTCTTTTTTCATTTTTGGTTAAAGTCCTAATAGCTCAAAAGCATACTCTTAAAGACACGATTGAAGCAACTGAAATGCATCGTCTTAAATGAAGCCAGATTTGAAATCCCAAAAGAAACATTCTATTTGATATATTCCAAAGAAAAAGGAAAATGAATTAGTTTAATGAAAGTAAATATAATTAACTAACTTAAACAGAAGCAGAAAATTCAAAGTTTAAATTAAAAAAAAAATCTTTAGTGGAGTGGGGTGGGGCTGGTGGATGCGGGTGAACATGCTATGCGGGGCAAGGCGGGTGGATGCGGGTGTAGGTATGTGGCGGGTAGATGCGGGTGAACATGCTATGCGGGGCGGGTTGAAATTTTGTGGGTTAAAACATAACCCGCCCTGCCCCATTGCCATCCCTATTTCTAGAGCATTAAACAATCTACATGAAAATCCTGATTTTTTAGGATTTACCATGAATAAGAAGGGACCTCTCGCCTATGCAGATGAATTGATTATTTTCACCTCATGTAACACAAAATCTATTAGACTCGTCAAGCAGATGCTAGCAGAGTATAAGAAAGCTTCAGGTCAACAGGCGAATAACCAAAAGAGTTGCTACCTAGTAAACCATACTTGTCATCAAAATAGCATCAGAATTATTGAAAGGCATCTAAAATTCAGAAGGGAATTTTCCCCTATTGAATATCTAGGATGTTTGATATATACAGGTAGAAAGAAGGTGCAATACTTATCTGGAATGACATTGAAGATTGTTCATAGAATTACTAGCTGGCAGGGTCAACTTTTATCTCTAAGAGGCAAAGTTATTCTTATCAAGCATGTACTGTCTGCCATTCCTATACACTTGTTATCCATTTGTCATCCTCCTAAAACTGTGCTTAAGATGTTGGAAAGATTCTTCGCTAATTTCTTCTGGGGTCAAAAGGATGGAAGCAAGAAATATCACTGGGCCTCTTGGAGAAAGTTATGTTATCCTACTGAAGGAGGAGGAGTGGGTTTTAAAAATTTGAGTGACACCACCAAGGCCTTCACAGCCAAAATCTGGTGGCTTTTCAGAACTAATAAATTTCCACCATTCTTATTGACTAAGTATTGCAGCAGAACTCATCCTGTTCCCAGGAAAAGAAACTCAAAGCAATCCAGCCCATTTAACATGGAGGATAAATTCTTCATTTAACAGAAGTAGAACCACATATAACATGGAGGATCCAAGGAGGAAATTCTTCTTTCTACTGGGACAACTGGACAGGTTTGGATCCTTTATCCAACTTTTGCAGCTGTTCCATTTATAATAAGGATAAGGTATGTAACTTTATTGTTAATAATTCCAGGAATATTCCTAAATTGTCTCAAGCTATTCTAGGCTACTTGGTTGAACATATTAGAGGTATCAAAATAGGTAACTCAAATGTACAAGACCAAGCAATATGGACTGGCTCAACTAATGGTCAGCTCATATGCTTCTCAGCCTGGAATAGCCTGAGACAAAGACAAGGGATTTCTTTTGTGAATAAGTTCTTATGGCATAACGCTATTCCTTTCAAAATCTCTATTTTCGATTGAAAACTTTTGAGAGACAAACTACCCACAAATGATAATATCAGAAAGATGGAAATTCATTTTCCATCAAAATGTGCTTGTTGCATGAAACCAATGAATGAAGATAAGCATCATATTTTCATTGATAGCAACATCAGCAAAGCAGTCTGGAAATGCTTCAGAGACCAATTTGGACTATGATGGTGATATTAGGCACCAGATGATGGTTTGGTGGTTCTCTGAATATCAGAACCCAATCCATAAACTCCTTCAAGCAGCCCCTTTGGTCATCAGTTGGAATATCTGGAAAGAGAAAAATAAGAGTAAATATGATCAACAAAGGTTCTTTGTTCCTAAAATTGTACACCAAATTTGTCATGATGTTACACTGATTATCCATAAGCAGTTCAGGCAGGTTGACTTAGCAATTCCATGGGCACAATTGACTCAGATGATTGTGAAATCTAGATCACAGTTGACTATTATCAAAGTCTTATGGAAATTTCCTCTAGAAAGGACCATTAAATTAAAAAGTGAAGGATGTTCTAGAGGTAATCCCGGTATTAGTGGTGGAGGAGGGGTCATTAGAAGGCACACTGGAGAAATGGTAGGAGCATTTGCAGCATCTTTTGGTACCCAGAGTAATAATGCAGCTGAATCTATGGCTCTAAATATGGGGCTGCAATGGTGCATAGATCAGGGACTCAAAAATATTATTATGGAATTGGATTCACTCTTAGTTATTAACTGGATGCTTGAAAAGTTTAATCCTCCTTGGAGTTTGCTGACTACTATTGAAGAAGCTAAGAGGAAGACTAATTTCTTTAATGAAATATAAGTCATGCACTGCTTCAGGAAAGGAAACAAAGTGGCGGATGCATTAACTAATGAAGGAGCTGAGATAAATGGTGTTAAATGGTTTTACTCTACTCAAGAACTTCCATCTCAGGCCAGGGGACACTTATATACATGGACAATGATCAACTCCCTAATTTTAGAATAAGATACTCCAAAAAGCTATTTTGTATATGATCCACCTGATAACAGTGATGTTACTTTTTGTGCTTTGGTTAATCACTGCAGTTGTGAATAAGGAAAATGGTCCTTTCCAAATGATAGTATCTTCGTTGTATATCCTTCTTCATGAGTCCAGGAATATGCCTTTATTTTCTTTTATTTTTGTGGAGGTTAGGTTTTATGTCACCCTCCTTAATGTGTTTACTTCTGGATTTTAATTTTCAAGGTAGGGTCCATGCCAAACCCCCCGTCACCTAAAGACGGATTTGAGAAAAAAAGAAAGAAAAGAAGACGGGACAACACCGAAAAACCATGTAAAAGCAATACACAACAAGAAAAATGGTATTATATGAAGAAATTGGTAAATGACTTGTTTTAATAAGTTTTAGCCAATATTTCAAAACTATTCAAATTTAGTCACTTTATTGCGAAAATAATTTTTTAACAAAAATATCCTTAGCTAAAGCAGAAAATTTATCAAACTGAACATTTATCACAAATTGTTCCTGATGCTCATTCAACACGACAGATAAAGCAGAACAAGTTATGACATAAGGGGAAATGGGACCAAGAAGCAGAATATCTCTGCATCTCAGGCCTGTAACCGTCAATACAGCAATTAAGAAAGAAGAAGAATACGGGCATGTCATTTAGTCAACTAAAATATGACAAGATTTTGTCAAATCCAAGACATCTGTGACATTTCTTGTAATTAAGAACTGCTAGGACTCCTCAAAAGATGCAGTAACCTTTTCAGCACCAATGGGCTGTTTTGGAGATCTAGAGCCCGTTTGGACATAAAAAAAAATTTAAATTTTTTTCGAAATCAGTGTTTGGTCATAAATTTTTTAATTTTTAGGTGCATTACTCTGCTGTACTCAAGATGAAATCATTAATTGGGATGCCCAATTTCAGCATTTCTCGAAAAAGGGAAAAACAGCAGAGTAATGCTTCATATTTACCATAGTCTTTAATAATTTAGAGAAGCTAAAAACCGAAGGAAGAGGCTGCGGCACTGACCATTCGATGGAAGAGACTCGTAGCATCGTCTAAATACTTGACATTCTCAATATGGCTATGAAATGAAGAATAATATCTAGTCGCCGAAGCAGAAGGTGAAATAGCAGAAAAAGAGATAAAGGGAATAATACCGTTGCAAGAGTAACGCAGCAAAGAAATTCCCGTTATCTGATTGCAATTGCCGAAGAGAAATTCAGTTTGCGATCTCTGTGTGCCCTAATTGAAGAAAAAGCTGAAATGCGACTGTCCAGTTAATTGTTAAGTTCGGTAGTTGACAGTTAGGCCCTCTTTATTTTAGTTATTGTAGGTAGGGGTGTTCATGGTAGGTAGGGGTGTTCATAAAAACTCAAAAACCGAACCAAACCGAAAATAGAACCAAACCGACCAAAAAATCAATATATTTTATGTTTGGTTTGGTTTTGGTTCTGAATTTTAAAAACCGATCAATTTGGTTTGCTTTCAGACATGGCGATTGTTAGGTCAATATTCTCCAACGGATAGTACTCTGAAATCTAACAATCGTCGTGTCTGAAAGCACCTGAAACTGCACACGAGGTGCAGAGTGTAGTATGAGTACAACCAACTCAATAAGTAACAAGACTAACCTATGGGATGAAAGTAGTGACGAGCTCCACAGGTACAGTCCAGTACAGAAATGTAGGCATGCTTTCAAGTTCAATAGTTAAACTCAGTACAAGCAAAATAGATCAATTCTTCATGATATGAGAAATATGACATCTCAGTGGAAAGACCTCATGTACTACTGGTCACTAATCATTTGGTCATCCGGTGCTGTTTATGGCCAATCCAGCCCAGGGATATTCCATCCCCCATATATATACACATCGACTAACAATCAGTCACTCAATACCATATAAGGCCAATCCAGCCCTGGGGTAATTTATCCCCAAATGTAAATGATACGGACAAGATCCATGTCCAGGAAAAATTCATCACATTATAAATAAGTATGGCAAGTCCATGCCCTGGGAAGTCCGTCCCAAATATATAATCATCTACGCTTACTGGGGGTGTGTACAGAGGATGGTAGGCTATAATCCAGTGTTTTAGTCGCTTATTACACTCTAATTCACTGCACTTTACTTATGTTGAGCTTTAATTAGGCGTGTTTTGCACTTATTGTGTGTTTTATACCCGACATGAGTGATTTCGAGCTATGTAGATGTTGTGGCATGAATTCATGCTATTTTAGAGCTTTGAAGTCTGAGTAAAATCCCAAAGATTAAGTCGGGATCGAGTGCGGGGATCAACGGATGATAGTGGAACGAAACGAAGAATCGAGTAGGTATATTGCGTAGTGTCTAGTAAAATGTACATAACTTTTCGCTCTGAACTCCGTTTAGGCTCCACAATATATCGTTGGAAATCTATATAAAAGAGATACAACTTCCATGTTTTACACTTTCCCAAATTCCCAACTTATACAATCCAGGTGCGCAGTCGCGCACTGGGCGTGCATTTGGGGCAGAATGGTGTGCAAAGTGCGCGACCACGTGTGCAGTCGCACATGTCTTGTCCGGAAAAAGCCCTATTTCACTAAGAAATGGTAGTTTCGTACGGGATTTGCTTTGGGAGTGGATTAAATACCTCAAAACATCATTTTTGACATATTTTTGACATACCTTAGACCTAGGGAAGCTTTGGAGAAGAAAGAGCACAAGGATTTCATCCTTCCTTCCTCACTCAAATCCGGGTTTAGATTATATTTATGTTTTCCTCTACTTTTATTTTATCTGTGAAGAATTTCTCCATGTCTATGGAGTAGAACCTTTTGGGTTGTGATGGATTTGGTGTATTGATGGTTGTTTGTGGATTATAACTCTATTTTTATGTATTTGAATCATTTTTGGAAGATTTAATTGTTGTATCTATATTCACTTGTTCTTGTAACTGAAAGAGGTATAACTTGTGATATATTTGCACTATATTATTAGTTGAGTTCATAGATTCTTCTAAGTAATCGAAAGAGACTAGTTGAATCCTTGATTAAACCTAATTAGGAGGATAATCGAAAGAGGTTCTCCTAAAGACCAATCCATTACGAATTCTTGCATATCTTCACCGAGCTTAAATTGGTTCATATTGTTAGGTTGAGACTTAATCGAGAGAGAAGTTTGTACTGATAATTAAGTGAATTCGAGAGATTCAGTTGAACATTAGAAGTGAATTATCTAGAGTTAGATCCCGAATAAGTATCTTGCACCTATCTTATCAACCCATATTTTCTCTCATTGATAACTTCCTTGCTTACCTTTATTGTGATTGTCATTAGTCAATTGCTTTAGATTCTTAGTTATTTGTAGTTAGAATTCATATATATCTCAAATGTTGATCCTCCTGGATAGCAATATAGCTACAAACTATGATAATACTGTTTAAATCCAATCCCTGTGGACACGATAATTATACTATACTATTTTTGACTAGCGAGCACAATTTAAGTGTGTGTTTTGCGCTCGTCAACAGACTCCAGAGGGGGTCCTTTAGCCCAAGCGTGATATAAAGACGATATGGCCTACTGCAGGCAGGCAGTCCCGATCCGTATAATAATAAAGCCTATAAGGCTTGCTGCAGGCGGGCAACCCCGTTTCGTATAATAATAATATATATAAAGCCAATATGGCCTGCTGCAGGCGGGCAACTCCGATCCCATAATTATACTCATAATGGATGAACAAGACTGAGTATGAAATATACATTTTTAAAACAATTCAATTTAACAGCAACACGACCCTGTGGGTCCTAAAATATCGTCACATAGCCCAATCATGATCTTTAATACGAGTCTCAACTCAATTTTTTCTAACACGTGGAAAATGTTCGGATAATAACATGATTCTTTAATTTTACAACTCCACAGAATTTATTAAGTCACAATTTCTATGGTGCACGCCCACACGCTCGTCACCTAGCATGTGTGTCACCTTCAAACAATTGATATAACACCAAATTCGGGGATTCATACCCTCAGAACCAAGTTTAGAAGTGTTACTTACCTCAAGCCGTGCAATTCTTTACTCTGCAATGCCTTTCCCTCGCGAATCGGCCTCCAAACGTCTCGAATCTAGTCATAAATAATTCAATTCAGTCAAAACAAATTATAGGAATTAATTCCATATGAAAATATAAATTTTCCATCAAAATCCAAAATTTCACCCAAAAATCGCCTATGGGGCCCACGTCTCGGAACCCGACAAAAATAATAAAATCTAAAATTTCACTCAACCACGAGTCTAACCATATCAATTTTATCAAATTCCGACATCAATTCGACCCTCAAATATTCAAATCTTATTTTGAAATTCTTAGGCCCAAATCCTCTAATTTCACTTCAAAAACATGTAATCTAGTCGAAATACGCAATGACAAACCAATATTGTTGACTAACAATGATCACAAATGACTTACCTCATGATTTCCCGTGAATTCTCTCTGAAAAATCGCCCAAAACCGTGCTTGAAATGTCAAAAATGACAAAAATATCGGAACTCCTCTGTTTTGTACACTGCCCAGTGCTTTCGCACCTGCGGCTCAATTTCTTGCTTCTGTGGCTAAATCTCCGCTTCTGTACACTTACCCCTACTGCCTCTGCTTCTGCGAACCTTGGATCGTATTTGCGCAATCGCAGGTGCGGACCTCACCATTGCACTTGCAGTCTCGTCGCTTCTGCGCTCCCAACGCCGCATCTGCGACCTCGCAGGTATGGACCCAACCTCGCACCTGCGACCTTTCCTCCTTTCCTCCAAACTCCTCACCTGCGTTCCACATGCCGCACATGCGGCATCGCACCTGCGGCCTAGACTCTCGCACGTGCGATCACATTAGAAGACAGAAATTTCCATATTTCTTCTAAGTACGAATTTGATTCGTTAACCATCCGAAACTCACCTGAAACCCTCGGGGCCTTAATTAAATACACTAACAAGTCCTAAAACATCATACGAACTTAGTCAAAGCCTCAAGTCACATAAAAAAAAACCTAGATTCTCCTTCGATTTAAAAGCCGTCAATCGCATGTGCGATGTGTCTAGAGTTTACCTTCGGATCAGACCTCAAAAACAGAAAGAGAAACAAAAAGTGTCTTCGTGGCAACTATGTTATGCCATTCGTGCCCCTCACCAGAGAGTCATTGAACTCGCTTTCAAGAAGAGTCTTTCCTGCTTCCAATTTATAGACTTAAAAAAGGGGATTTTCCACATCATTGAGTAATCTTTAAAAAGGAAGTCAGCCTTCACTATCTTCCAATCTTCAAAGGACAGTGGAATTAGGCTTTATTTTCTGCTCGCGAGGAAAGAAAGAAGAGCGACATGGTTCAGTTCAGATTTGACTGTCTGCAGCATGGGAGCAGATTCCCCAAAAAATCCCTGGGAACAATGAGAAAACGAAAAGAAAGGAAATGGTTCATTCCACAAAATAAAAAGTTTCTTTTTATGAGGTACAAATAGAAATTCCTCTTTATTTGATTTGTTACGAAATCGACCATAGATCAATTCCCTTTTTATCTGGGAGTATTGACTACACCCCAATTCTGAGCTTCATGTTACTCTTTCCAAGTGATATGTCAGGTCCAGGGCATCCCAATTGGATTGACTGGGATGACAGTTTCTCCTTCTGAGTATGTAATTTCAGAATTTTGATCAAATCACACATCACAGTATACTAGGCTTCTAATTCTTTAAGAGGTTTATCTAAAAGATTCGCAATATAACTAGGAAGATGTTTTAAATACCACACATGGGTTACTGAGCATGCGAGTTTGATATAGCCCATTTGATACCTTCGTATCCGAGAATCAACAAATTCGACCCTGCATTGTTCGCAAAATTTCGGGTCTTCTTTTTCATCTCCGATTACTCGATATTTTCACAAGTACCAATTCCGCTGTTTATAGGACCAAAAATTCTTTCACAAAATAATCCACCTTTTTCCGGTTTGTTAGTTTTGTAATGAAAAGTATAGGGTTTTGTTACCTCTCTAACTATCTCTCCATTAGACAGGATTTTAATGGCCCAAGCACTTATTTGTTGAGGAGAAACTGATCCAATTCGGAGTTGTTGATGTTTATATCGATCTATCATAGAAGAAAAATTATTATTCATTCTCATTAAGCTTCCTTCCTATTAATCTGGAAGTTCTTCTCAGATATAAGGAAATGATTCAGTTCTAGAGCTAAAGATCGTAGTTCTCGAACAAGCAATCGAAAAGATTCTGGAGCATCATCGGGATTAG